CTTAACAAACGAATCCTTCTCCACAAGTTTGCAAAATTTCAGCTTTCTTACTGAGCTAGACTTTTTACCGTAAAATTGATAAAGGAAACGGGCACAATTTAGACTCGAGAATGTAATGAACTTTTTGGAATTCGCTCAGAAATCACGTAGGAATCCGAATAAAACTAAACTCTCTAAGCTTAACAAGGGAATCCTCCACAAGTTTGCAAAATTTCAGCCATTTTACTGTGCTAGATTTTTTACCCTGCAATTGATAAAGGAAAAGGGAACAATTTAGACTCCACAATTTAATAAACTTTTTGGAAATTGCTCAAAAATCACATAGAAATCCGCGAAGAAACTAAACTATCTGAGCTTAACAAACGAACCCTTCTCTACAAGTTTGCAAAATTTCAGCTTTCTTACTGAGCCAGACTTTTTACCGTAAAATTGATAAAGGAAACGGGCACAATTTGGACTCCAGAATTTATTGACCTTTTTGAAAATTGATCAAATATCACATAGACATCCGAAAAAAACTAAACTCTCCGCGCTTAACAAGCGATTCCTTCTCTACAAGTTTGCAAATTTTCAGCCCTCTTACTGTGCTACATTTTTACCGTGAAATTGATAAAGAAAACGGGCACAATTTAGACTAGAGAATGTAATGAACTTTTTGGAATTCGCTCAGAAATCACATAGAAATCTGAATAAAACTAAACTCCCTGAGGTTAACAAGCGAATCCTTCTCTACAAGTTTGCAAACTTGCAGCCTTCGTGCTACACTAGATTTTTTACTTTTACCGTGAAATTGATAAGGGAAAGGGGTGGCAATTTAGAGTCCAGAATTTAACGAACTTTTCGGAAATTGCTCAAAAATCACATAGATATCCGAATAAAACTAAACTCTCTGATCTTAATAAAGGAATCATTCTCTACAAGTTTGCCAAATTTGAACCTTCTTACCGTACTAGATTTTTTTCGTTAAATTGATAAAGAAAACTGGCACAATGTGTACTCCAGAATTTATTAAACTTTTCGACAATTGCTCAAAAATCACAACGAAATCCGAATAAAACTAAACTCTCTGAGCATAACAAACGAATCATGCGCTACAAATTTGAAAAATGTCAGCCTTCTTACTAGGCGAGATTTTTTACCATGGGATTTATAAAGGAAACGGGCACAATTTAGACTCCATAATTTAATGAACTTTTCGGAAATTGTTCAAAAATCACATAGAAATCCGAATAAAACTAAACTATCTGAGCTTAACAAACGAATCATTCTTTACAAGTTTGCAAAATTTGAACCTTCCTACTGTACTAGATTTTTTTCCGTCAAATTGATAAAAGAAACGGCCACAATTTAGATTCCAGGATTTATTGAACTTTTTTAAAATTGCTCAAAAATCACATAGAAATCCGAAAAAAACGCTCCGAGCTTAATAAGCGATTCCTTCTCTACAAGTTTGCAAAATTCCAGCCTTCTTACTGTGCTACATTTTTTACCCTGCAATTGATAAAGGAAAAGGGCACAATTTAGATTCCACAATTTAATGAACTTTTTGGAAATTGCTCAAAAATCACATAGAAATCCGAATACAACTAAGTCATCTGAGCTTAACAAACGGATCCTTCTCTACAAGTTTGCAGTGTTGTCATTTTTTTTCGGTGAATTGGTACACAATTTAGAATCCAGAATTTAATAAACATTTTGAAAATTGCTCAAAAATCAACTGATAATCTACAGAAAACTAAACCCCACTTGG